CCTGTGCTGTGTGATGTGTGTCCTGGGCAAGTTCTCCCTCTCTTGTGGTAAAAGGGATCTGGAGCTGATGGTGCAAGACCTGCCCCTGCTGTTAGTCGGACACAGGGGCCATGTTTAATTCATTTGTACCCGTAACAGAAAGAATATTGACTCGCTGCTTTCTCAGCTGCCATAAAGAGACTTAGCTTCTTTTCTTCATGAGTTTGCTTTCTAAAAGCAAAACAAAACAAGAAAAAGACAATTGTTCTTAACTTCCAAAGGACTTTGTTTCCATAGGGATAAAATCTCTAAATATCTCTTCCATCCATCCATCTCTCAGGTGACTAAAGTAATAATAATTTTGCATATTTCCTAGATATTTGTCTAATAAAGATGTGTGTGCAAATATAGGGAAAATGTTACCCTTATTTACTGAATGAAGAATTCTTTCCTAGGTGATGTTCTTTTCACTTTGCTAATAATGTGGCTGTCCCTGGTAGTGGAGGTTTTGAATATCACAGGAATACAGGAAACAGCAGGATCTTGCTCTGAGATAATAGTACCTTTCATGAGAAATACATTGGTGGCATTGAGTTCCATCCTACTACTACGTGCAAACACGGAGTGCATCAGGTCTTTACTTTAAAGCAGTCACATACACAGACACATTCCAGCCCAAAAGGACTTGTGATTTGGTTTGTAAACTGCATGAACTTTCCCTGCGCTGATAAACCATCACTCCCCTCTGCCAAGATGGACTAGTCCTTTTATTTGTTTTTCAGTGAGAGTAGTCTGTGTAACCTGAGTTTTGTAAAGCCCGAAGTCTTCATTTCATTTCAAATCCAAATAAGTGACAGAGGCCCCATTTAGGGGATTGCAGGAAGTCCGGGTGCCTCTGAGGGAACTTCTCAGGGTTCTACAGAGTCCTATTGTCCCAGGTTAGTCTCTCTCACTCCATATTGCTCCTGACCCTTCTTTGGTTCATGCTGCCTATTTCCATGAGGTCTCAGCTGTGTCATGCCCCAATCACTGACTTAGACAAAAATATAGTCCACCCTCAAGGTTATCATTCTGGCCAGGAGCAACATTTTGGCTTAGACGGGCTGTACCAACAGCTTCCCCAGAGCAAATTATCACCATTTACATACAAGTTTGTAAGCAGCCACTGTTTGGGCTGAGTGTTTAATCATTTGTCAGAGAGTTATAGAATCAGGCATTGATTTTAAGAAGAGAAGACTGGCAACCCTGTTACTAATGTACCTGGCCTGTTGCAGTTTTGTTTAACTGTGTCTGTGGATGCCCAGAGGGACATGATGGGCCTGGCAGTGGAAGCTGATTGGTCTGCCTTCCATTTACTCCTCATTGACACCTAAATAGATGAATTCCTTTGGGTGAGTTCTTGTTTTGGGATCAGAAACGACTGTTCATTAGGTCTATTGGGCATGTGGCCTCCATTTGATTGGTAGTATTTTCCCATAGATCTTCTCAATATCTTGTGTAGTTGGTCAGAAAAAAACATTATTGTTAACTCCTTTCATTCTATTTTGTGGAACAAATGTGTTGAGATTGGACCTAGCTCAGAGGCCTGGATTGCCATTCCTGCATTGCCCTGAAACAGTGATGTCACCAGTCTGTACTTCAGTTTCCTCACCTATACAGTAGGAGTATATTAGTCTGCTAGGGCTGCCCTAACAAAGTACTGCAGACCGGGTGGTTTTAACAACAGGCATTTATGTTCCTCACAGTTCAAAGGCTGGAAGCCTGAGACAAGATGTTGGCAAGGTTGGTTCTGTTTAAGGACTCTCTCCTTGGCTCATAGATGATCATCTTCCCTCTGTCTCTTCACATGGCTTCCCTCTGTGTCTGTGTCCTAATCTCTTCTTATAAGGACACCAGTCATAGTGCATTAAGACCCCTCATATGACTTCATTTTATCTTCACCTGCCCAAATGTAATCACATTCTGAAGTACTGGAGGTTAGGATTTGGGAGGGGATAAAATTTAGCCTATAATAGAAGGTGAGGTAGTAGAGGCAGAGGATTCTTAATTATTTTCTAATAATGTTAAGGAGGCCCCAGAGCATAGGATGACAAACTCACTGTCTGAGAGATTTCCTAGGATCACCCTACTTTCAGTCCTAACTCTGAGGAAGTCCTGGGCAAACCAGGAGAGTTGGTCACCCTGTTCGTTGCTTACAGGAAACAGGACCAGTAATTGGTCCCTCAGCCTGATCTACCAGAACTCTGATGCTTTTCTTCACTCAAACATCAGTATCCTAAGTGAGACTTAATTGAACAAAAGGGTTTTGTGGCCAAAAATCATTAGAAAACAACTTGATTCTAAGGCCTCAAAAGACCTTTCCTTGCTGACACATTTTATGATTTAATTTCATTTGCACACACCAAATTCCAGCCACTGGAGCAAAACTTATTGGGTTCTCATTTAGTTCATGGCTGAAAGTGAAATAAAACATTATAGGAAACTGCTAAGACTTGTCTATTCTGAAATAGAACTTGGTGCTGTGCTTTGGGATGGCAGTGATGCTTGCTGAGTACTACCTGCACTGAAATTATCCTATCACCTTGTAATCCTTATAGCAACTCTGTGAAGTGTTATATCACCACCAGCAGTCGCCTCATGGTACAGAAGAAGAACCTAAGGCACGGATTGATAAATTACTGGTCCAAGTTTTAGGACTGGTCAGGGCAGGGCAGGCAGTTTGACTTGAGTGCTACTGTCTCGTCACTGAGCCTGAATGTAAGTGTCTCTGTGATGGGAGCAGGGATCACACTTGAATATAAAGTAATTTCATCTCAGCTCCTAGGCCAGACTCTTCTCTCCAGAAAGTACATCTCAGGACATCTTTGTCCCCTGCCTGTCTGTCCTTGGTCAGCACCCCCACCTGGTCCTGCTTTTTGCTCCTATGGAAGCTGAGAGCGGTTTTCAAAGTGTTGAAAGGTTTCAGTGATCTCACAATAAAGAATACTAAATTGCATACTGACAGAATATTCCCTTGTTGATTCTTTTTCAGATCTCCTGATCATGGTAAGGGAAAAGTTTGCATTAGCCTTTAATTCTCCCTATCACTTGGCGATCTGTCTTTTTCAGAAAGCAAGAGCAGAGGGCAGCAGTAGCTGGCCGAACTTGAATAACTCTGTTTAGTACAGTAATCTTGTTACAGTTAATTTAAAAATTTGAGATATGGCAAAAGATACTGGTTTTACTTTTTGGTAGTTAAATAAAATACCTTTAAAAGGCATTTATTTATGTGGAAAAGAAAGTGATTTAAACATACTTAGTAATTAATAGTATCGGTAATGTACAGGTAGAGCAAAAAATGTGAAGCATATGGTAAGAAAGATTGATTTTTGTGGAACACTGGCCAGGAGGAAAGATTGGCATTCATTAAAATCTTAAAACCATCAAATGAAAGGTAGGAACTATTTGACCAGCTGAAAGGCTAGGTGCCTCAGGCAAGGGTGATTCTTGCTAGGGCTCCTGCAGTGCTGCCTGCAGGTAACTTTGAAGCTTAGTGTGTCTGCCAAGTGACCTCTGGAAAAACAGGGTCCCCACAGCCAGTGGATTGTTTTACTAATGATTTTCAATATTTTTGCAATGTCCCCATCAGAAAGGGTAAGGATTAAAAGTGGATTTTGTACCAGGTCAAAAGGCAATGTCTTGGGAGAATGCAGCCTAGAAAATAATCAGAATTAAAAATGCAAATTGGAATTACCAGGTGAAGCAAAAATACTTACCCTGGGTGGACACCAAGCCACAGTGTAGAGATTGGAATCTATGCTGTTAGATTTCCTAATGATCACTCCCCTAGTCCTAGAAGCCAGCTGAAGTTGCTTCCTCATGCAGTCTGGAGCAGTCAAACTTGAAGGGACTTTTTTATGGGCTAAGTCTCTAGTGACTCTTTGCCTGCCAAGCTTGCGGCTGGTACTTAAACTCCATAGGACTGTGTCCTTATTAAATAGAGTAGTGCTAAGGCAAAGTGAGTTTGCAAGTCCTGGTTAACCACTCCGTGTGAGTCCCACACTAGTCTATGGCTGTATGGAAAGGATCTGGGCTTGGCTAATCCTTGTAGGACCTAACAGCTGGTCAGTCATAGGTGCTGGATTTTGACTGATGCTTTTTGGTATAAGCACCAAATCTTCCTTTGTAACAGCCCAAACTTGGCATATTGAAGTTGAAAACTGCCTTCCAGTGAGAACTGGAACTGCCTTCCATCAGGAAGACCTGGTCAAGGTTACCAGAACCTGGGAAAGATCTTAGACCTGCAACTTTCAGCCATTTCCAGGAGCAGTAGCTGCTGCCATTAGGAGCCTAGAATGATAGCTGTTCAGGCATGACTGGAAGTCTTCTGTTGCCGTTTCACTCTTACCTGCAAAAAGCATCAAAGTCCAGTACCTATGACTGACCAGGTGTTAGGTCCTACAAGGTATTAGCCAAACTTAGATCCTTTCCATACAGCCACAGACTAATGTGAACATAATTTCCCCTTTTAGAGTTATGTTTATGAAGATGTTCAGATTCATGTTGCTCTACCCCTCTACCTCTGTTCTCATTTCTTAAGTACACTTTATTTTTTTTTAGAGATTTATTTATTTATGCACATAAGAACTGGGTACAGGCCAGAGGTGTGGGGGGTAAGAGGATTCACCAGAGACAGAGTGGGGAACAGAACAGGCAAGTCAACTGAAATACACTGCTGAGGGGAGCAGTGGGTGAGACAGGAGAGGTCTGCTGCACCATGTGGGTAGCTCCCTTGCTGGGGTTTGAACTAGTGCTACAGAGGCTGCGGATAGCTTCATAGATTGCATCTTAACCCCTTGCGCCACCAGGGAGGCCCTCTTAAGGACACTTGAAATCCCATAAAAGAAAAGACCATTTAAAATAGAAGAAAAAAAGAAAAAGTGCAAGTTGCTGCTTAAGAAATAAAAGTATTCCTGTTTCAATAACCTATTGCTCCTAATCCTATGAAGTGGTATACATAACAAACTTTTTTTTCCCATCAGAAAACATCTGTATGGATTATTTCATTACAACGCCACGATGCTTAGACTTGAGTCACTTCCAGATCCCACAGACACTTGGGAAATTATAGAGACCATAGGCAAGGGAACCTATGGTAAGGTCTATAAGGTAACTAATAAGAAAGATGGCAGCCTGGCCGCAGTGAAAATTCTGGATCCAATTAGTGTAAGTAATGGCGGTAATTGTAATTACAATATAATCTTTCTTGTATACTGAGCTTTCAACTTCTTTCCTGATTCTAGGGATAAATTCATGAAACCTGGCATGCAACCTAAAGTTAGTCATAATTTGTCAGCACACCTGAATTAAGGAACTCCACTGGAATTTAAATTTTCCTTGACTTCCCATTTCTTGTCCATTTTTTTCTCATTTGGTTTTAGTCCTCTTTAGTCTTCAAAAGTTGTTCTTTCAAAAGAGTGATTTATTTCCCTCCCTGAGTTTTTACAGAAATTGGTCTCTTTGTAAGTTACAAAGTGACCCAGGCTTCTGCTGTTTAATCATCTAGCCTAGCATCTTATTTCAGGGCACTGAGCACTGAGGTTATAATACTGTATGCTGTTTTACACAGTGAGGTTGTAAGTGTTCTATCCTGGGTGGATCTTTCAAGCTACTGCTCCTTAACTGCTTTGAAAATTTAGACATTTTTAATTAAAAAAAAATATAGGGCCTCCCCGGTGGCGCAGCGGTTGAGTGCTGGGTTGCGAAGCTGCCCGCAGCCTCTGCGGCGCCGGTTCGATCCCCGGCTGCTCCCCGGCCACTGGAGGAGGGTCCCACATGGCGCGCAGACCTCTCCTGCCGCCCGCTGCTCCCCTCAGCAGTGTACTTCCGTCCTTCTGCCTGCTCTGCTCCCTGCTCTGGCTCTGGTGAATTCTCTCACCCTCCCGCGCTTCTGACTGTACCCAGTGCTTGTATCAATCAATCAATAAATAAATCTTAAAAATATATATATATGTATATATAATAGTATTGTTGAAGCAAAAGAATGTAATGAAGATGTTTTATTGGTATCATAGAAAGTTTTAGTTAGGATATGAATATCCATTGTTAGATATTTTCAAGATATGGTAGTAAGGACATTAAAAATACAATATAAATATACTTTCAGTGATTACTTGAGATTGATGTTATACCTGTATCCTTCCTTACACATTAGACTTAATCCAACATGTGTTTTTTTACCCTGTTTAGGATATGGATGAAGAGATTGAGGCAGAATACAACATATTGCAGTTTCTTCCTAATCATCCCAACGTTGTAAAGTTTTATGGAATGTTTTACAGAGCAGATCACTGTGTAGGAGGACAGCTGTGGTTAGTCCTGGAGGTAAGAGCTCCTACTGGGTAACAGAGACACAGATGCTTTGGTTAAGTAGAAGATACACCTTGAGGAGTTGGTCTCTCTTGGGTGTCACAGGTACTTTACCAGATGTGGTGTTCCCCTCTGTAGTTCTTACAGGTTGGCCGTGTGCTGAAATGCTCATGTTTCTCTGCTTCAAAAGTTTAATAATCTTTATTCAGATACAGAGCAAATACAGGAATACAGTTGGGAAAGGTATATTTTCTTGTCCAAACTGGGACTATTTCATAGAAAATATGTTCCAGTGATTGCAACTCTTTTTCAAAAATTATTAACACAAGGTTTACTTGGCTTGCCAACTTTGAGTTAGCCCATTCATATTCATTAATAATCATCTTAGAAATTAGGAAATGAAAACTGCAGGTTTGGGCAAGGGAGACACTGAACAACAGTTTGCTTGCAATAGAGGTCTAAGCCCACCCTCTGGGAGACGGAGAGCTGCAATGCTCAGTGTTGTCCTAGATTGTCTTTCTATTGCCAATCACTGGCTGTGTGCAGCTCAGGGAAGGGCATGACCTCTGGTGGAGGCAATTTTCTGTAGCAGGGGCAATTTCTAGCAAGAGATACAGAGGGAGCAGCCGGTATTCATGACAGCATCTGCTCTGAAGGGAGCATCACTGTATCCACCATAGTCCAACTTGCTCCCTCTCTTATGAATGGGAATGAATATGTGTATCTAGGTGCAGACAAGTGAATTCCAAACAAATCCAGTTCCCCATGGGACTAATGTGGTAAAGATATAATAATGCAAACGTGAAATTCTTATATTAGGACTGGTCTATAATCCTCACTAGGCCCACCATGATTTATTTAGAGTCTGCCCTTCTGAACAAGGACATATCTTGGTGTCTGAGGTCATAAATGTGATCTAGGAGCAGCTCTGGTACCTCTTGTCTGGATTTTCTGCCTGGCTCTGGGAAAGCCTGTGCAAAGGACAGTGTATGCTGGCTGCCACAACAACCATGAGGAAGAACATGAATCAAAATTTACTACCCACATACATACACACACAGTCTCACACAACTGGAAGACCATGGTGTTCCACACAGCACCCTGACCATTTTGTGCTCTCTGCAGCCTTTTAAAATGTGCTTTAGATGACTTGCACAATAAAATTATGCTCTGTTTAATATTATCCTGTTGAATATAATCCTCATTCTGTATATTGAGATTAAATTTATGTTGTCTTTGCTCTTTCCTTGCTGAATGCGATGAAAGGACCAGTAAGATAGTCTTCCATGGAGCAATTCTAAGTATAGAAAAATGTTATTAATAGCCTTCTTAAATCACCCCAACTCTGAAAACAAAAACAAATAAAAATGCCATTTCTGAAATTCATTACTAATTGTTAGCAGCAAGCAAGCCAAGACACTCTTTCATGACAGACACCTTTTGTATTAGAAAGATATGAGGAGAAAACACACATAATAATGCTTTGGGAAATGTGTGAATACATTTTATTCTAGATTAATATTAAGTTTGAAAAAAATCCCTGTGTTCTATTACCTCTCATTTAAATGAAATATAATAAGAAATAAGGCCTTTAATAAAAATATAAATACTAAAAGAAAAGAAAAACAATACTTGGAAAAAGTGTCTATTATGTACACAAGAATGAACTGTCTTCTCTTTTTTTCCTTTTATTATAAAATCTTCAGCAGATAAATACTATTAATTTCAGCACAAATCATGTGTTCAACTTAAAAGAAATAGTTTGGTATTTAGAGTGTGAGTAAATAAGACTCTAAACAAAAAAAAAACACCATATATTTTTTAAAAAAAAAGCTAGAATCAATTTAGAAAAAAATTTTTTTTTCCCTAGAGATTTATGTTTAAGTATCTAAACTGGAAGTTTGGAGAGGATAGGTGGAGGAAACACTTTTGTAGTTTTTGCTTTTATTTAAGGCCCTAGAAAGACTTCATATTCATTGGTATGAATCAAGTTTTCATCGCATTAACATGTCAGGATCATAGCAGGACTCTGATGATCTGGAACCTGGGACTAGTAGGTTTTGATTGGCCAGAGATGGTTAGAGAGCACTGACTCAGACAGCAGGTCCTGGCAGGGCTCTAGAATGAGAGTCACTGGAGTGCTGGGGGTCTGGAGGAAGGTATAGTACACTTAGGAATGGGGAAGGGGAGACTTTGAAATGCAACAGTGTGTATCCCACCTACATGTGTTCTAGGCGTTCATCTAAAGGAAGAGGGAGTGAGGACCTGGGAATGGGAAGCATTCTGCTCACTATTCTGCTCATAAGTATGTGCCCTGGAGAGAGAGCCCAGAGTGGGGAGTCTCAAAACTCACTGACTCTTGTGTTGTATGTCACCACTCTGACTGGAACTCTATGGTTACATAGAGTTAATGACATAATTTTCATTCTTCTAGGTGCAAGGCAGTGATTTTACCTCATATCAACAAAATAAACAGTTTTCCCAACTGAGAAGTGGGCAATACCTAACATGATGCTTCTTCTAAGGCATCTTAAGAGTAACTTTTACAATCCTTTACTCTTGCTTTTTTGCCTTCTGTAGAGCCTGATATCCTTGAAAGATAAAGGCACGGACAGAGGACACTAACAAGGAATTTTTCTTAATTCTCAATTTGACTCAGTCAATGCCAGTGTAAAATCTATTTGAAAGTTGGAGCTTTGACTAGAATAAAGGTCTGGTAATTGTGTTACATGGGCTATTCTTTAAGAACATGGAGGAAAGTTGATGGCTTATTGAACAATGAACATTTTATTGCTTGCAATTATGGCCATCTTAGCAAGTGTACTTACAGTGATTGAATCAATATTCAATGATATTTTGGAAAATAGATGTGGAATGTAAATGATTTTTCTTTTTTTCTTTGTTTGGAGAAAAATGTTCATTATATTCTAGATGCATCCAGCTGCTCCATTTCCTGAATGCTGAGGGCATAGAGAGAAATGCAGGGGTGGAGACACCTCTGTGTTTGAATCTGATGGCTGGAGGAGTGGGCAGGAATAAAGGGCTGTGTCTGTCAACCTGCAGGGGTGGCAGAGGAGGCCTGGTTGCAGTCTTATAATTCTCAGGGGATTATTTAATGTCATGCATTTAAATATCATTCCTTGTTATGCTTTAAAAATGTTCAGTCTGTTTCAGTGAACATTTAGTCTGGTTAGGTAATTGTCAGTGTGTATTTGCTTTCCTCTTTTTATATCCAAGTGCCCAAAGCCCTTTCTCTATCCCATGGACTGCCCTTTGAAACCTTGCTCGTAGGCTTATCAGCTTCACAGGAGAACTTCCTCTAGAGGTGTCCTGAGCAGTTTAATTATGTGTTTTTGTGAATCACAGGATGAGATAGCTCTCAAACTCTGACATTTAGTGAACAAAAGGTACCAAGGTAACTTTCCTTGTTTTTAAATCCATACTGAGTTTTTATTCTGCTGACAAAATGGCTGCCCTTAATACCTATAGGTTCTAGAGCTAGCTATGAAGATAGTTTATAAATTGAGTTGAATAAGCTCCTGTTACAAAAATGACTACATTTAAAATAGGGCAGGAAAGAGACTCAAATGAGGTTTCAGGAAAAAATTCCAGGGTTGAGTTAACTTGGATCATCACCAACATTTAAATTTTCTCCAGGTAGAATTTTAAAGTGCACTTAAACAATTCAATAAAGCCTATGCCTCCCTGAGATGGGAGCCAGGTGAGCAGTGGTTTTGGAAGGTGTTATATATGTCTTGCATCCCTATTATTGTGTTGGCTTTAGAGGATCATAGAACTTTATTGATACTTTCCTTATTCTTGTAGGTTCCCTGGATCTGTCACTTTTTCATTTTCCACATTTAGTTGGTTAGAAACTTGTTTTGCTTTTAATGTAGGAAAGACCCCCATATCTGTGTCTGTTCATCCTTATGATTCTTGATTTTTTGACCCTGCCTCTTGATTGCTTCAATACCTTCTAATAGTCCAGCACCCAGAATCTTCCTTTCATATTTACCCTCCATTTTGCTGCCCAAGTTATCTTTTCAGAATGCAAATCTGAACAGAGACCTCCTACCTAAAATCTGTTTATAGCTTATAATCCTATCTAACAGAATATTGTAATATTATAATACACATATGGTCATAATAAAGCCTATATTCCTTAGTAGGGCACACCTGTCATTATTGTTCTCCATTTTCCTGTCCCATTTCCCTTGCCTGAGGGTCTTGGCACTCTCTATTGCAACAGTAGCAGAGTATTTAGAACTACAGATACACACACACACACACAGAGACACAGACACCCTCCCCATAATATTCCTTCCTTTGCACACAGTGTTCCTTGTCCTCCCGCCATAACCCATTTGTCCTTCAAACTAATAAATGTTATGTTCTCTGGAAAGCTTCCCCAGATAGTCCTTTCTTCACTCCACCTCAGCAGCATTCAGCATTCCTACTTCAGGCCACTATGCTCCCTTAGACACATCCCTATTTGCATACACCACACTCTAATTGCTTATGTGTGCATTACTCTTGTTAAGTTCTTTGAGGGCAGGAGTGTGTCATGTTCATGGCTGAATAATGGGTAATAAACTCAACATCAGAAACTATTGAGAACAAAGGGATAACTTTTTCTTTAATAACTAACCTTTGTTCTTGACCCACTGGCCTGCCTAGAGAGGCAATTGATTTTAACTCATTCTATTAAATTTAGTCTAACTGAGTGAATTTTTGCAGGAGGATTAAATCCTAGTATTTAGAGCCCACTTTCACAGTCCATTTCTATGTTGAGTCATTTGGGTAAAGACTCAGTTTTGTTTCGGCCTCTTCTTTCCCTTTTCCACTTCTTTCTCCCCTTCCCTTTTCGCTGGGTGCCATGTGCAACAGGTGCTTATGTAAAGTCATGGCAGCTCAGCAGGGACCTCTGTACAATGCTGTAACCCCCAAATCCTTTGTGTTCTGCCGTTCCTATATTCTTATGCCTGGTCTCTGTTACGCCCTCCTATGAGGTCCCCACTTTCTTTGATTTTCTCATTCAAACTCTAGCCTGACCCTGTCCCCAAAGAGAATATAAAGTTTTGAGTCTCCTGAAAGTAGTAACAGGCCATTGGGAACTGTTATAGTGCCGGACTTGGTCAGCCTCACCCTCCCCTGTTGCCATTTCCACTCGACATGAACACTTCTTTGTTGGCTTGAGGCTCCTTTGCCTCATGGAAATCTCCCCTGAGTTTCCAAATGGGAAATTCAGTTTCAGGAGAAATTGAAGTTTCTATTACATTTTCCCCTTGTACAGAACCACCAGGAGGGAGTATCTTGTTCTTTCAAGCTGTTCATACTCTCTGCCAGACCCAGAAGGGCTCTTCTTGTGGAGGGAGATTATTCCTTAGCTCATTTGATACATTTGACCTTGGTCATCATTTGATTCTGTGGTCAATTCTGCAATTTTTAGTCTTTAAAATATAGGATCTAGTTGGGGAGTCCTGAGAGAATTATCCTTGAATCATGGCACTGAAAAGGCATTCATTTTTTTTTTAAATAAATTTTATTTTTATATTTCCCATACAATTGCAACCCCCTTATTTTGACCCCAATCCCTCCCCTCCCCGCCCCCCACGCCCATAGAGTGTCTCTGGTTCATAGTTTTTTGTTGATTTTGATTTTAACTTTCTTATAGTTATTCATTTTCCTGGTCCCTTATTTAAGGTTTCTAGATTCATGCTATGAGTGAGACCATCCGGTATTTTTCTTTTTCTTTCTGGCTTATTTTGCTGAGCATGATCCCTTCCAGCGCCATCCATGTTGCTGCAAATTGCATGTGTTTATCTTTTTTGAATGCTGAGTAATATTCCATGGTGTATATGTACCACATCTTCTTGATCCAGTCATCTATTTTTGGGCATTTGGGTTGTTTCCAAAGCTTAGCTATTGTAAATAGTGCTGCTATAAACATAGGGGTGCAGGTGTTCTTTGGAATTAATGTTTCTGTGTCCTTTGGGTAAATACCTAGGAGTGGAATTGCTGGATCATATGGAAGCTCTATGTTTAGTAGGTCCAGAAATCCCCACAAAGCTCTCCATAGTGGTTGGACCAGTTTGCACTCCCACCAACAGTGCAGGAGAATTCCTTGAAAAGGCATTCATTACTCAAGAGGTTATTGGACACTAAATGTGATTTTCCCTATCAAAGTCATGCAGCACATAGTTGGAAGCAAAGGAATGTGGAATCATGGGGAAGACATTTCCCTGGTACTCAACTTCAGGGTCATCAGAGCTATCAGTGATGAGGTATCTGTTACACCTGACAATTGTAGAGAGTGGAGCCCAAGGTCATTTCCTATAATTCTGAACTTATGCGATCATTATAGTCTTTGGTAGTCTTTACCGCTTCTAGGATCCCTCCTTGAATTATTTCTGGAGATAGTAATTTTATCCTAGTTTTAAAGATTGTAAATTTTCCTAATTCTATGTTAGATTTTTAATCATACTCTTGCTTATGAACAATTTAAATGGTAAAAACCTGGGAAGATTAAGGTCTGGGTCTCTTGACTGTCAGTATGTGTGTGAAGTATCTGCCACTTAGGTAGCAGAGATGATACAGACATCAGAAGCATCTGTTCTCCCTTTTACTAAAATATTGTAAATGTTCTAATTAAAGTTGAATAGATCCTCATGTATTATTATTTTGACAAAGAGTTGTCTTTTTCAGAAAGGTGCTAATCTATGCGCCCTCAGATTTCCTTGTTTAGGAAAAGCCAGTTGACTCAAGCAGCCACACCCAGGGGGCCCCTCTACTGTTTACTAGTTAACTCTCAATTGCAAAGTTCCAAGAGAAGCAAACCTAATTTACTGAAGCAGGGTGTTAACCTTTGTGATGATGAAGGTGGCTCTTGGAAGCTGATGAAAATTCTGAATTTTCTGAGCAGGGAAATGCAGTATGTAGGACATACTGCATACAATTTCAAGGTATTTACATGTCCTCACATCAACTAAGAACCTTTTTTATTTTACATTTTAAAAGAATAGATTTATTAGAAAAGGAGATGCAGCTGCATAGTCACAGGCAAGCAGGAGAGCGGCCAAAAACCTTGATTAAAGCTGGCATGTAGTAAACCCAGACTTGCACACTGACTTTGGCAGTTAGTAAAAATTATCCTTGAAAACCCTTAAATTGCTGAGAAAGTAAAGCATACCTGGTTTATGGACTCAAAACGTAGTACATAAAAAGGCAAATATTTAAAATACAATCTTGGTGTTGATAATGAGGGAAAAAAGAGAGTGAAAGGGCATGAAGTTGCTGAAAGCTGAAAGTTGACTAGGAAATGGTTACATAGACATACTATGCAATTCTACTTCATAAAGTTGACACGGAACTCTAGAAAGAGCTGGTTAGGCTTCTGATGCCTGTGGTACTGTTATAGGGCAGCCCCGATATTGAACGGGTTGCCTGGCTGTGGGTCCTCACCCGCGCGCTTACAAGGGACTTATTAACACTCCACTACAGGCACACACAAGAGGTTAATAAAAGGTTTATTTGCAAGGGAAAAGGAAATAAGGAAAATGTACAACTCAGGGAGAAAATAGGGAAATAAAGTCTTTAATGTGTCCTACCCGATCCGCAGACCTGGAAACGCAAAGGCACTCTCAGCACTGGCCGGAGGCTGCGAGCTGGCGGGGAGCCAAAATGGGGGAAACCCTCCAAAGCCCACATGTCTGGCTTTATACCAACCTGGCTGCTTAACCCCACCCTCAGGTCCCAGCCACCTTCCCTTTGCTGGTGATAGGATTTGGAGTTCCCAGTGACTTTTGGCTTTGGCCTGGGGTGGGGGTGGAGTCCACAAAGCCTGTATGGAATTAGCTTTAGGACATCCTTTCCCCCTAACAGTGCTAGCACTGGAGGCAGGAAGGTTTGAAATGACTAAAATTTATTTTCTGGCAGGTATCAGGGATACCCATCTTGCCTCTTCCAATCTTATATACAAAATAAACATTACAAAAAAGACAGTATGCATGTAAAATGAAAAATATCCAATAAGTCACCATGATTACTTACATACATTGTCTTTCAATTTAGAAATTTCAGAAATTCTAGATAATGACTAGTATTTTTATATTTCACTTGGCAATTGAAAAAAAATCAGCTATTTTTTATTTTTATATTCCCCATACAATTGCAACCCCCTGAAAAAAAAAAATCAGTTTTTTGACACACATTTTCACTAAAATCATCACCTGGAATAAATCATGCATAACATACACACACACACACACACACACACACACACACCCCATATTTGATTGTGTAATGGGAATTTTAATGATTCTGAACTGGAGTTTTGTGATCTGCAAATTAATTTTATTATATGAGATCAGTAATCAGTGGGCTTTTCTTAATGTCTTCATTTTTCTTTTTGTATGTGTTCTACTCTTTCTGTCTGGCACCATCTCTTGCAGCTATGTAATGGAGGCTCCGTCACTGAGCTTGTCAAAAGTTTGCTACGGTGTGGCCAGCGGATGGATGAAGCAATGATCTCATACATCTTGTACGGGGCCCTCTTGGTAAGAATGTCCACCAGGTTGGGGATGACAGTGGAGGGGGCATTTTGTCATCCCTGAATCCCTATTTGCATATTAACATTGGAGAAATCACTCTATAATAAGCAAGACTTATAACAACAGGGAGATATAGCTGAATATGGACTTTGATTAGACTTTTAGTAATAGGGTGATTGTTTTAAAACAACTACAAATCTCCCCTTTCTCTTTCTTTTTGTGTGTTGGCGGTGGGCACATGCAGGGTCTTCAGCATTTGCACAACAACCAAATCATCCACCGTGATGTCAAGGGGAATAACATTCTTCTGACAACAGAAGGAGGAGTTAAGCTCGTTGACTTTGGTAAAGACTGCTTGTCATTTGTTTTCTTGATGTGTGCAATTTAGCCGAGGGCAACAATTTACTGCAATTTCAAAAGACTGGGGCCTCTTTACTACAACATAGGCTGAGGGACTTTTCCAGTCAACACAGACTGGAAAATGGGGGGTGGGGGTGGGTACCAGATGGATCACCCTAGGAGAAGCTGTTTGTTAATCTATTTTCAGCTTTAGAGCAATTTTATTAAAGAGAGAAAATGAAAGTGTTTTGAAAGAAGAAGTTGACAGAAAAAGTTTGGTTTTCTGGGAAGAATTTCACATCTCAAGGCAATTGTCTATAATTTACATTTTGTCATTTCTTCTTTTGCATATGAAAATAGAAAGCCATTGGTCTTTCAAATGACTTTGTCTAGCCTTAGGCATACTTATTCCCTGTGAGCAGAAGGTAAAATAGTCCTTTGGGTCTGCAAGCTAACATCCCTTTAAATTGTGATTATTGCTGTACATGAGAGGTTAGCTGAACTGGAAGCATGAACAGGAAATGGAAGTGTGAGAGGAAATGGAGAACATTATCACTTAAGGCCAGAGAATTATTAAATATCTCCTCACAGCTCTTATGTATTGATATTCATAAACTAACAAACCATTTGGTTTTTCCTTTTTAAAATTATCAAATGATTCAATCTTTTAAATGAGTTTAACAACAGTATTTCGGCATAATTATTACAAATAATGAGAAAACAAATACAAAGACACTTTTAAAAATGTTCTTTATTGATAGTATAGTAAAAGAAAAGATTGATGATTTTATATATCCAATGTTTTATTGGTAAGAAAGGATTGCTAAAACATTTAAATAAATGATTTGTTCAGAAGAAATTACTCAAAAATAAATGAAGTTACTTTAGGTGTATGGGTCTATTTACCAAAGACAAGCAAAGAAAAATGGCAGAGGAGCACTTTGTTCAAGTCTTATGCTCCTCTTTCTAGTCATTAGGAATGGTGTAACTCCACAGATATGCTGTGTGTGTAGCATCAGAGAGGTATTTTCCACATAACCCAGGGGAGTGATAAATATGTTATAAAGGAAAGAGCCTAGGAAGATGCAGATAGGGATTAATGCTGATTTATCCACTTAACCAGCACTGCAATTTGGCAGGAGGGTAAAGGCTCCTAATGTTTCCAGTAGAAGGTTCCTGAACTTCCAGGAATGTCTAGAAATTATTTCTAGGCATTATGTCTACAAGAAATTTCTAGACACACTGTTTAGACATTAAAAACAGTTTTTTGAAACCAATTTTTTTAAATCAAAATTATGTGGAGGACTTGGTAAAATAGGAAATTATCCAAGGCTAATAGAGTTTAGGATACTCTCTGGCTTTCTAATAAAGAGTGGCTAGCACCACTACCAGTTGTGCTACCCATGAGTTCTTGGCAAATATACACCTGGTTTTCAAAGGTATGTCCTTTGCTAATGAGCTCAAGTATCCAGGTTTCTAAGTTCTGGTCATTAATAGGTTTAGTGGCAACCAGTCATTTTTTAAGGACTGCATTAGATAGTTGGCATAAAAGAATTTCTTAAATTTATAAAATAATTTACAATCTATAAATCATTTTCACATTTGCTTTCTTATTCTTAAGAAAAACTCCTTGTGTGAGATGTGATGGGTATCATTCTCCCCAATTTGGAGTGTAAAGAAAAGTCACTTTCCGAGAGTGAGGTGACCCAAAGCTATACAATTAGGAAGAGGCATTGGAAAGCAGGTCTTATAACTGCTACTCCAGTGTGCCTTTATGTCTACTTTATTACCATGCACCATAAAAAAGAGAACTGGCTGAAGACTAAGACAGATAAAGTATATTAGGATTATATTAAAACTGAGACCCTCAACATTGAGCCCTAGATAATATTATCAGTCAATTTCTTTTTCCATTTGACAAACATAGCTCTCTTGCCAGGTTTCCAGGCTTTCAGATAAGATAAGGAACTGAATATTTTTTATGTCTATACTGATGTTCCATTATAGATAATATGTGTCAATCTTCTTCCATAAAATGAAGCACTTTTTTAAGGAAGGAAATCACCCGAAATATTTTGGAAGTATAATAGAAAGAGATTTGGGGTTGATGTTGTTGATGTTTGTCTTTTGCTTCCATTTTGCAACAATACAGACTGGAATGTTTATTAGGAAAAAATATCACCTGATTTAGATGGGATGATAAATGTTCCTGCCCAGGGAGTGGTTAGCAAAGTATAGCCTGTCAGCTGAGTCTGACCTACCTCCTGTTTTTGTAGACCTGTGAGGTAAGAATGGTTTTAAAAACTTAAGTGGTGGGGGAAAAAAATCAAAAAGACAATATGTTGTGACATGAAAACTACATTCTTCTGTAAATAAAATTTTATGGAAACACAGCTACACTTGTTTCTGTGTTGCCTATGGCTGCTTTCATGCTGCAACAGCAGTTAAGTACTTGTGAACAGAGACCATGTAGCCCACAAAGCCAACAATATTTACTATCTGACCCATTATGGAAAAAGTTTGCTAACTTCTGGCCTAGCCGCATCCACTGCTCACTCCTGAAATTCAACACCCTTTTCTCATAGGGGTCTCTGCTCAACTTACCAGCACACGTCTACGGAGAAACACATCTGTTGGCACCCCATTCTGGATGGCCCCTGAGGTAAGCAGGGGGGCATTTATTTCTTTGTGTTTGTTGAGCACCTAGATGCTGTACTTTTTTAATGGGAAAGGCATATGTTTTTGTTTTTTTTTTTTAAAAGATTTATTTATGCATACAAGAACTGGGGTACAGGCCAGAGGTGTGTGTGTGGGGGTAAGAGGATTCACCAGAGACAGAGCGGGGAACAGAACAGGTGGATCTACTGAAATACACTGCTGAGGGGAGCAGCAGGTGAGACAGGAGATGTCTGCTCTGCCATGTGGGTAGCTCCCTGGTTGGGGATCAAACTTGTGCTGTATAGGCTGCGGAAGCTTCATAGATTGCATCTGAACCCCTTGCGCCCCCAGGAGGGCCCACATTTTAGTTTTTTTTTTTTTTTTTTTTAGGGACCAGGAAAATGAATAACTATAAGAAAGTGAAAATCAAAATCAACAAAAAACTATGAACCAGAGACACTTTTAGGGGGGCGGGGGCGGGAGGGGAGGGATTGGGGCCAGAATGGGGGGGCTGCAATTGTATGGGGAATATAAAAATAAAATTTATTATTTAAAAAAAAAAAAAAGGGAAAGGCATATGTTTCACCAATTTTTCAGGAAGAAGAAAATCTTTTATCCTCATTGAACTACGTTCTGGCTTGGTGAGTGATAAGAATGATCAGGAAAGCAGGATTAAGGCAGAACTAGATCATAGTGTACCTCCATGGAGTTAGAAAAAACTGTTCCCCCCCTCCCCCCGTAAGATGGAGCCCTCTGTAAGGGCCATGACTTGGCAACATTCAGGCTTTGTGTAAATGAATGAGAAGTCAACTCCCCTGGAGCGATGTAGCCCCAGTGACACATGCCTTGGTGAAGAGACAGATTTCAGCTCCAACTGACCTATAGAACTATACACTGTAGCTTTGGTTGTTTTTTTCTTACCAGCTACATAGCAGCTTCTCTTATGTACTTTGCTGGCTCTCTGGTAAACTTGGGATTTGGTTCCAATTTAATTTTGGTATCATTTCATCACATCATCTGGGAAATGATGCATGTAGAAGTTTGGGGAGAACTTTCAGCTAGATAAGGCATACCCTGGAACACCAACGAGTACACTTTGTTTTCAGGTTAGCATTTCATTCTGCAGTACCCTAGCCCATGCCAGAGAGCAACTCTCTGGGATTAAGCAAAAGGGTTCTTTTAATAAGAGGCCTCCTGTAGTCATTGTCTCAGAGATCTTTACATCTCCAGTCTGTCCCCACAGCTATCCTTCCTCCTTGTGACTGCCAAGGTACTCTCCTAATTTGTTCACACCAACTACTCAGATTTCTGTAGTGGCTCCTCATTGTTGATGGCCCACTTTTTCATGCTTGGGTAATGGATAGACACATTTAGGGGAAATAGAAAAATCTTACAGATTCCAGTGTTTACCTAAATCTTAAATGTTTAAATTGGTTTTCTTTTTAAATGAAACTAGTTAACTCCTTATCACTTATATTTATAGAACAATAAAACCAAAAGGAAAAAAAGTATGAAAAAACTACAAAGCCAGTAACATTCAAGTGAGCAACTATAATGAGACAAATGACATTATTTTTTGAAACTCATTTGTTATTTGCAACTGAGTGTGTTTCCAAGCACGATAGCACAGTTATTTCTAGTTACTTTGTCATAGTTACTACCACCTATCATGTGGCGACTCGGTTCTCCTGCCATTTTACTGTTTCAACTCGGGTGGTCTCTATTCAAAGAGCATCTCCGTTAGCCTCCAAATGGTACATTTCTGTTGGCTTGATGTCACCTTAAAAATAAACATAAATATGGAAATTGAAATTGCGTGGCAAAAGGTCTTCCAGATGACCTGGAATATATTTCACTACTTATCCTATTATCATTATTAATAATGACAAAATTATCATTGAATCAAAAACATAAACATACTGTTATTGGGACTTTGTGAAACCCACTTAGAGAAACACTGCAGGACAAAGTCAAAATCCTTTGGTTAGTGAACAAAGCCCTTCATAGCTACCTGTCCAGCCTCATCTCAGGTTCCAAATTTATTCCACAGAAGTACCTCTAGAGTAGTAAATGTAGTAAATAACATTCCCAGTCCATCCTGATATATTATTCTTTTAAACTCTTCTATATGCTGTTATATCCTCTGGAGGGACTCTCAGAGATTTGGAAAATTCCTCCTCCATCTTCAATTCTCAGCTCAAATGCACCCGCCCTTGGAAACCGTCCCTAATCTCTGGCTGAAGTTGAAAGTCCTATCCTTAAGTCTCCATTGTAGCCTTTACTCCAGATACTAATGCACCATGGCCTTTCCTTTGCAATGGCTAGCAAGCAGGTTTCCTAACTAGAGCCTAAGCTCTGGCAAGGACTTGAGATGTCTAGGTCTTTGCGCAGTGCTTTGTGCAGAGTAGGTACTCAAATATGTATCTGCTGGTCAAGAGCCAGAGGAGAAAGTGAATTTGGTGGGTAGTCTGAGAAGGGCTTCACAACTCTCTGTGTTAGCCGATTTTTCTCTGTAGTTTTTGATATATCTGTTCTTAAATGAAAATGTAAGTAAGGCCACTCAGTTCATGCTTGGGTAGGCATAATGTGGACTATAACAGTCCCTGTTGTAATCTAGAGCAAGCCAATGTTTTCAGAATTGCAAAATGTAATTAAAAGAAGACAGCCCTTGACTTTGTATACTTCTTATGAGGTTGGTGGCTTTTCAATTTCAGCTGAGTTCAATGAAATATGTGGAGAGTTACTATAAGCAACATCTTAGTGATCTGTAATAAGCTTCTGTTGCCCAGATTGCCTGGAATTGCTTCCCTTATTGACAGGGTAAAGTCAGCATCTCATCCTGCCTGCTGTAGTGGATAAATTGAGGAGTAGACAGATTACTCTGTGAGACCTTGTCAGTGCCTTTCAGGAATAAGTATCTTCTTCATGCATGCCTCAAATAATCTTTCAGAATGTGGGATTGTGTCCATTGCAGTTCTTAGGACTCAGGCCTATACCATCCTCACATTTTTATTTTCTAAATGGAGAATTATTTTTTCAAACAAAGCCTCCTATCACGCCATAATCCTCTGTAAGACTATCCACAGGAACAGTCATCCATTTGTCAATTCATTCAAGAAACATTTATACTCTCCCCTGTGAGCAATGCTTTGGGGCAAAAGCAGTCTGTAAAGTGCAATCAGCAATGGTTCAGATAACATTGTCTTCCAATGATGGCCTGCATCCTATATTGATCCGAATATGCTTTTACTTCTGTTGGTGTGAATAAGTGACATTTAGATTAAATATGACAGCAGTGCAGGCAATCCCTTTGCCAATAGAATAAAACCATCACAGGCAACCTGTGCTTTTACTCTGAAAATATAGCTGAAAGATTCTTGATCCTATTTTATTTTTGAGAAATTGAAGCAAATTATTCTTTCCCCATTTTTATTTCCCCAGGTTGAGTTACTGCAATATTTAATTTAAATAAGCTATACGACAAACTAGGTAGCTAATGGAATGTGACCATACCACAATCAAATGTTGACAAGCAGTCCAAATGCACAGTTCACTGGGGCAGCTCAAAGCTGCAGCGTGAATTCACTCTCATTTTGTCAACACTCCCCACTTATTTCCTCTCACTGCTGTATTTGGACACTATGAAAATGGACTATACTAGGTAAAAATAGCATACATTCAGCAATGTAGAAGAAGAAAAATTCTAGAGGGTACCCATAGTACTTTGAAATATTGCTACTGGGGAGATATTGCTGGCACAGTAAGGCAATGAAAGTCAAGAGTAGTACAATTTTTACAGTTTTTCAGTAGCATATTATGACTCAGGGAAGATTATTTTAAGAAGGAAAGAAAAGCCTATGTCTTTAGCAAATCACCCTGAGCAAAATGACTTAAACAATAGGAAATTAATTTTCTAGTGTAAGTGCAGAGATCGGTGATTCCAGCATTTGCTGGTTAGCAGTTAGGGAAAGCCATAAAAAATCCAGGTTCTTAAATTTCCCTGGATTTTTAAAAAAGATTTATTTTTATTTATACAAGAACTGGGGTACAGATCAGAGGCATGGGAGGGTGAGAGAATTCACCAGAGACAGAGTGAGGAGCAGAAAAGGCAGAAGGACCGAAGATACTGCTGAGGGGAACAGTGGGCAAGGCAGGAGAGATCTGCCACGCCATGTGGGAATCTCCCTGGCTGGCCGGGAATCAAACCGGCGTTGTAGAGGCAGCAGACAGCTTCAGAGCACTGTGCTCAACCTGCTGCGCCACCAGGGAGGCCCTTAAATTTCCCTGGATGTTACTGCTGCAAACTACATGGCATTCTTGTTCAGTGACTGACTTAGGGACCTTTATGTCAATACTGCCTATGAACAGCTGAGGGACAACCATGGCTCCAGGAGTCCAACAGCCACCAGCACCCATGGGACAGTTCAAACTGATGTCCCCCTTCACTCCCATAGGGCTGCTCTTATAAGTGGGTTCTGTTCCTGTCCTGGGATCAAAACCACATCCTCCAATACCACTAACTAGTATTAGCTTTCTAGTACTGCCATAACATAGTAACACAAAAGGGTAGTTCAAAACAAAAGAAAATTATTATCTCACACTTCTGGAGGGTAGATGTTGAAAACTGAGATTTGTCAGGGCCATGGCTCTTTCTGAGGCCTCTAGAAGAGGCTTTTTTTGCCACCTCTAGCTGCTGGCAATTTACTGCCAGTCTTTGGCATTCTTTGGCATTCTTTGACTTAGAGCTGTGTATGTCCAATCTTTGCCATCGGAGTCACATGGGGGTTCTTCCTCTATGTCTCTACATAACTGTCTTCTTATAAGGACACCAGTTGCAGTGGACTGGGGGCCCACCCTGTTCCAGTATGACTTCATCTAAACTCAACTCAGTATATCTGCAACTATCCCAGTTCCAAATAAGTTGATATTCTGAGGTCCTGGGGGTTTAGCACTTCAACATGTCTGTTCTTGAAGAACACATTTCATCCATAAAAACCCTCCAAA